GAAACACCTTATTTCCCAGAAATAGACAAGCCCTCTAATTTGATAAAATCTTTCCAATTAAAACTCAATCTAAGTTACTTTACTGCTGACTGCCCTTGAGTGGATTTGATGACTGGTAATCTTGCCACGAAGAGTGGCTGGTGAACTGGAAAAGCAGTGAAATAAGGCATTACAGCACCAGGCGTCCCTGAAGTGCCCTGGAGTATATAATGCAAATCTTTATTTACATTGGAAATATTGAATTATATTTAAAACAGCAATATGCTATTAAGACACAGAAAATACCTAAGATTTGTGTTACTACTATCCCAAGTAGCTGACGATATGCACAGGTGTTATTTATTTATTAATTGGAAGACTAAGAAGCTGGTATTACGTTAATACTGTGTGTACAGTACTGTATTTTAAGCTTACCATTTGCAATTGATTACATGGACCATCTGTAACTGTGAATCATGTTTGAGTTACCCTACTGGCATTTACTGAACACTTGTCATGTAGCAAAATTTTTAATGTCTCAAAGTTGATACAATAGTTTCAAGGTTTCATTCACTAAATTCACACCTCATGCTGTGGGCCCAATCTACCAAACTGTAGTGTCTCGAGTATTAATTTTATTAAAGAATACGGCCTCACCCCAAGACAAGCCCCAGTGAAGTAGACAAAAGTCTTTTGTGACCAATGAGGTGACTTTGCTCCACTGTTTGTTCCTTGTGGAACTACTCCGTGGGTGTTTTCAAAGTGGCGAGTGAAGGAGGGGGTGGAAAATGCAGCTTAAAATGTGGAGAGCAGCGGGTTGTGACCAAGCTGGGGACTCCTTTAGGAAGGAAACGCGTAATTCTATCAAGTCTGAGGTTCCAAGAGGAGAAGCGGAGCATAACAGCGCGGCTTCTTTCTCTTAGACCGGTCCGCGCTGTCAGAAAAGAAAAGACTCCTGGGACAAGGAGGGACGGTGGAGTGCAGAGCCTGAAGCCCCCGGAAGAAAGCTGCGAGGCGCGGAGGTCTCTGCCTGCGGGATACAGTGGGGTGCCGGGAGGGCGCGCTGGATGTAGACACGTGGTCCTCAAAGCGCTGCTGAGCAAAGGGGGCAACGGGGGTGCTACTGTGTGCTCCTCCCCAGAGCGACTCAGCTCCTCCTCCCAGACACGTGATGACGAACGGCCGTTCTCTCCGCTCATGCAGCGTCGCCCGCTCTGTTTCTTCCCTTCAGCTGCCGTGCCCTTCTTCTCCCCAGTTCCCGTTCGCTCCTCCTCCCCCTCCTTTACACGAGTTCCAATCACAGCTCGAGTTCCAAAGCGCCCGCCTCCTTGCCCTTTTCTTGGCCTGCTCATTGGCTGAGGGCTCAAGGACGAGGCCCGAGGGCGGGTGGCAGCCATTGGTGCGATGAGCAATCCGAGTTCCCGGATGAGGGAACATTCTGCAGTATAAAGGGAGCGGGGAAGGCGGGAGACAGCGCAGTTTGAATCGCGGTGCGACGGAGTAGCTTGTGGGAGATTGTTGGGTATTTGACTAGCCCTTTCTCTGCCTGCTTGTGTGAGCTTCAGCAGAATTCGAAATGGCTGGCGGTAAGGCTGGGAAAGACTCCGGAAAGGCCAAGACAAAGGCGGTTTCCCGCTCGCAGAGAGCCGGCTTGCAGTTCCCAGTGGGCCGTATTCATCGACACCTGAAATCTAGGACGACTAGCCATGGGCGTGTGGGCGCGACTGCCGCTGTGTACAGC